GAAACTGAGGCAGGTAGCAGAGAAATGAGTCACATGAATTCATCAGTTAGACCCACAGAGCGGGTCTACAGCCCAAGATTTCTCCAAACCTAGAAATTATTATAAAGCCCCAGATTTTAATGACTACTAGACATCATTGTGAACACAAGAAGTTGTCATGTTGAGTAGAAAATAGACCCTGGCCGCCATTGGCAGACTACGCGAAGGGCATATGTGAAGCATCAGAGGCAGTAAGACATTCGTTGCAAATACTCGACTCTACCATCCTGGCCCCAAAGCAACATAGGCATTGCATAAATGAATGAGCATGGCCCTGTCCCCATAAAACTTTGGTAACTATGCTAGGTGAAAAACAATTTTATTTATAGACACTGAAATTTGAATCCTGTAATTCACGTGTGTCACAAAGTATTACTCTTTTGATTTTTTTCAGCCATTAAAAAAAAATGTAAAAACCATTCTTTGCTCCCAGGCCGTACAAAACCAGGTAGAGGGCTGGATTTGGCGAACTCCTTGTCTATGGCATTAAAAAGGAGAAAATTCTTGCAGAATTTTTGGCAGCTGCAGAAACTCCCTTCGCCCTTCTCCCACTCCGGGATTAGAAAGAGTGCCGGACGCTCAGAAGAGCAGAGTTCCAAGGTTCACTGCAGCTGGAGTCTGTTCTCTCCACTTGGGTAGGGGCTGTCTTTGCAGGAGCAGTCTAACTTCTTTCAAAGTGCTTCTGTGGGCCTGCACAGTCGTGAAAACACCAAAATGCCCTATCATGGGGACTGGTTAAATAATTATTTCTACATCCCTATGACATCATAATAAGTCACTGAACGTATGGATGGCAATGTTGATTTCTACTGATAGAGAAACTGTTGTTCCTAACTGAGTGAGGCTAGGCAAGTCATTAAACATGACATCGAGTGTAATCCCACTGATGTCAATGTAATGCTATCTAAATGCAGAGTAAAAATGATAAGCAAATATAATATTGTAAGCAAATATAATGGTTTTTTCTTATTATTATTTTCCTGTGCTTCATCATGGTGAATGGTCTAATAATTTTAAAATCACATGAAACAGAACCTTAAAAAGGAACAAAAAAAGATGCTTGTTCTGGATGAAATCTCTATCTGCTGACCTTGAAATACAAGGACAAGTGACCAGAGTCCACTCAAGTAATGTCATCGGCTTAGATCCTTCCTCCTCGGCATGTTTCCCCACACATCAACTCTCATTCAGAGGGGGCCAGATGCTGCCATGCCCTGCCATCTCTCCACCTGCTTCCTCCACCCCCCGCCCCCGCCTCATCTTCCTTCCCCTCCACTTCTTCCTTCCCTTCCCTGCATTCTGAACTAGGTCACTACCTTGCATCCCGGGGAATGTAATAAAGCAATCTGAAAACTGTTCCATACTCCAAGATTTTGAGCGAAAAGAGAGACCTTGGTAATTCTTCAGTCCTATGGCTTCATTTTACAGATGAGAACAACTGAGGTTGTAAGAGGAAATGGGTTGTCTCAGTCCCTACCATTCAGGTCAGAGAGCAGGGGCTACAGTCCAGGACTCCCACCTGCTGTGTCCTTCTGCTTGCTCACAGGGTTCCACGTTTCTCCGTCCAGCAAATCAACCAACCAGGCTCTGTGTGAGATGTCTGGGAGATTCTGAGGGTTCAAACTGAGGAAAGAAACAAAGATGAGTAAGGAAAGTTTTCTGTGCTTGAAGAGCCAACCATCCACCACACGAATATCCCTGGGAAACAAACACCGTGTTCCGTGTTACAATAGAAGGAGGCATGGGTTGATAAGGGATGCAGTTGCAGGGGGGTGAATTTTGGTATTTCTTTCCCTGTGTATGTGTGTGTGTTCCCTAGGTGTTCTTTTGGATTCTGCATTAAATTCTGTTTTGAATAACAAAAACCAACTTTTAAGAATGTCCCTCAATTTTACTCCTAGAGATAAAAGAGTTGAATTTATAGCTGGTCAGCCCCTTAGCCTTTTGCTGAGGTCCATGGGGCCTGAAGAAGCAACTCACGTTGGGGGGGTGGGGGGTAGCTCAAGGTGTGCTGCAGAGCCTTACCCGAGCAAATGCAAATGTTGAAAAACCCTCTGGCTAGCCAAACTTCTGGCAAGCAAGGAGTTTGTCAACCTGCTTGGGTCCTTGCCAGCATTAGCTACATAGCCTTACAGCTCTTTCAATAAAGCCCTCTCAAGGCAGAAACTTGTGCTGTGCCTCTTGGTGCTTTTCTTTTGACAGCATCTGAAGGTCTTTACAAAGAAAAACAGCCTTTAAACAAGGAACTGGCCTCTGCTGTGTAATCTTGATCCAGTGGTCTTTCTTCTCCGGGTTTCAGGTTCTCCCTCTGTAAAAGGCAAGTATAGGACTATCTCAGGGGCGGCAGATACAGGTTGTTTCTTCTGGTGGTGTGCTGGAATTGGCTTGTCCCAGCTCAAAAGGGCTGATTATTAAATTTCCAGGAATTTCATGAGCCAGGTCACAACTTACTGATTGCTTGAAATCGGCCACGTTAAGAATGTTTAAACCGTGTAAACTGATAAATGCCAGAAGTCAGGACATCATCTCCCACCCCAGCCCCTCTGAGAACTGCTTATTAAACATTTATCAGCATAGCACTGCCTTGTCCTGTCCTACACCTGCCAGTGCTGTCCTACACTCATGGCAGATGTTGTTAATCTATCATAGAATTCTGGGCCACCCCTACCTAGACGTGACCTAACAGTCTTCCTTCATTGGATCCTTCATTGCTCCCTCCCTCCCTCCTTCTCTCCCTCCTTCCCTCCCTCCCTCCTTCTTTTCTTCCTTCCTTCCTTCCTTTCAATTGTTCATGCAGCGAAGGATCTTTTTTTTAGAGAGGGAGAGAGGGGGGAGAGGCAGAGGAAGAGGGAGAGAGAGAATATTAAGCAGCTTCCACGCTGAGCACGGAGCCCAATGTGGAACTTGGTCTCACAATCCTGAGATCATGACCTAAGCTGAAATCAAGAGTGGGATGCTTAACTGACTGAGCCACCCAGGCACCCTGCTGCAGCAAAAAATCTTTGATGCCTTCATGTGTCAGTCAGTGGGGATGGAGAAATGAACAGAATCTACAAAATTCCTCTTCATTCGAAATGTACTTTCTAGTGGAGAGAAACAGATAGTAAATGAGTAAAAAATGAATGAAAAATAATTTTGTATGGTATAAGTGGTCAAGAGGAAACAAACCCAAGTGGAATGATAGTGCCTAAGGAGAGACAGATTTAGATGTGATCATTAGGGGACACTTCTCCGAGGAAGTGGCTTTGAGCTGGGACCTGTGTGGTAAGAAAATGATGGTCCTGCACAAAGCCAAGGGGAGGGCATCCTGGGAAGAGGGAATAGCTCATGCAAAAACCCTGAGGGGCGCCTGGGTGGCTCAGTCAGTGGAACGTCTGACTCTTGATTTCCGCTCAGGTCATTATCTCAGAGTCGTGAGATTGAGCCCCTAGTCAGGCTCCAAGCTTGGTGTGGAGTCTGCTTGTCCCTCTCCCCCTGCTCCTCCCCCCGCCCCCTGCTTGTGTGTGCTCTCTTTCTCTCTCTCTCTCTTAAATAAATAAATAAAACATTAAAAAAAAAAAAAGAAAAGAATACAAACTCGCTGTGTTTAAGAACCCAAAACACCGTGTGACTAGCATACAGCAAGCAGCCATGAGGGCAAAGAGAGGTGAGAGGAGTAGGCAGGGCTGGATTTGTAGTGTCTTATGACACATGGTAATGCATTGGGGATTTATTGCCAAAGAACTAGGAAGTTGTTGGAGCAGGAGAATTCAACCATTATCAATTGACAGGACTTTCTAAACATATAACTGAGGTGAAATTTATGCATCATAAAATTAACCATTTTAAAGTAAGCAATTCAGAGGCACTTAGTACATTCATAATGTTGTATCTAGTTCCAAAACATTTTTATTATCCTAAAAGGAAACCCAGGACCCACGAAGTTCAAATGATCCACCAGGGGCCTGAAGGCCTGGCCATAGCCTTCCGGTCTGATGATGCAGAGGCCAGGGCTCTGGTCCTCATTGCTTCTGGGTGTTTGACCTGATAGCTCTGAATAAACTCATTTATGGTTTCATAATTCTGGAATCATTTTTCAAAATCTCCTCCATGGAACTCCAGGAGCATCTTTAAATTTCTGTAATTGGAAGGGTAGAATCAATTGTTTAAGGTAGTTCTTGTGACACTTAATATTCAACATCATTGAGTGAGATCAAACAGAATAATATCAAAGAGCAATATTAGATATACTTTCCTCCAGTGGTACATTCCACCAAGTTCATACCAGAAACAAGTGCATCATCCAAATAAATTAGCCCCACCAGATAATTCTTGTCCAGCTTGCCTTATTTTATCCAACATTGAAAAGTATAAGGAATCAAATTGACAAAATCCCGCAAGCTATATAAAGACATTTTTTCTTGGTCTTCTCGTTAGCTATAGATAGTCACTAAAACCCATTAATCAAATTAAGGACTAAAAGTCACTGCCTCACTAGTAAACAGCTCTGAAAATCCTGGCTTTGGAGTATAGAATATTGATCTGTTTTGTTTTTTCCTAGCATGCCTATTCTTGGAATGGTAGTCTATACACATCTCAATCTTGCCTAATTTCTGATGCACTGCTGCAATTGGGGAACACAACATTAAGGGCATGGGAATTGGAGAGTGTGTTGTTAATCTTTAATGTGTTCTTACATATCCCTGAATTTAAGACGATCTAATTCCAAAAGCATTGAGAATCCTGAAGCTCTGAGTTATGTTGTTCTCCCTCCATGTCTCACTGATAAAGAGAGGGGAAAAAAAGGCATGGATGTCAGTGCGATTCATCAAGATAACACACACACACAGACACCCACACACACAGAGCACAGCATGGGATGGAGAGATTTGGCAGTGGGAGATAGGTAACTTTTAGACCTGCTCAAGAATTATGCCAGTAGAAGTTCTAAGTGAAAATGCCCCCAAGCAATTGGATCTGTGGTTTTAAGGTTGGGGAGTGAAGTCTGTATTGGTAATTTACGTTTTGAACTCATCAGATTATATACGGTAATTTCAGCCACGGGATTGTATGAGATGGACCAGGAAGACAGTATAAAGTGACCATCAAAAAAGGACCGAGGACCGAATATCAACAGCTAAGAATAAGCAGAGAAAGAGAAGATTCGGGATGTCCAAGAGCTTCTTGGAAAAGGGTATACTACAATCTTCTGGGCGGTACACTTTTGGGAAGGAGTGCACACTCCCCCAGGCCAGGAAAAGCTGCAGAAGCACTAGATAGGACACTCATGGGGAACAATTCCACTAGCTGTCCTCTGACCAATTCCAGCTAACTGCTCTCAAACCTTTCTTCCAACACAGAACTCTCCTGAACTTCAGATCTGTGTTTTCCAGCATCTCCTTAATGCCCACAAACACTTCATCCTTCCTTGCAAAGCCGATCCCCGATGAAAAATATTTAAAAAGTACAATACCAGGGGTTTGGGACTGATGAGGCAGAGGAGTAAAGAAGAGGAAGTTGCCCAAAGGAAGATTTTAACATCCTTTTTTTTTTTTTTTAATTGAAGTACAGTTGACATGTAGCATCCTTTAAAAAAAAAAATATTTAAAGATAGAAAAGCTCTATTTAAAAAAAGAAAAATACCAGATATTCCTGGTATTAACTATCTCTATCTCCTAAAGACTTGAGCTCTGGAAGCTGGGAATGTATTATTTCCGTGTCCCGGTGCTTAGAGTAATGTCTGGCACAGATAAGAGCTATAAACAAATGTAACGTTGATTTGAATGCACTTTCAAATAGGGCCAGTAAGACCTTCCCATGAGGGCTTACCACAAATATCCCCAAGGGGCCCTAGTCACTTTTGCTTAGGCAATAATTTCGTCAGTCAAATGAGGGAATTGGGTCACATTCTGGGACAAGCAGCATAAAACTCTTCTCAATTGCACCAGACTAGCTTATTATACCTACCTCTAGTGGTGACTTTATCACCAGACTATTATTTTACTTCTAATCACTGTATGTGTGTGTGTGTGTATATATATAAATAAAATCAGTGTATGTGTGTCTGTATATATATATACATATATATATATATAATCACTGTATTGTGTATATTATATATAATCAAAACCTTGGGTTAAAGCAACTCAATGATCAGTCATTTGTGATTGATTCTGCATTTAATAGAACCATCAAGGGGGAGGGGAATGGCAAGTTGTTTAATGGGTATGGAGTTTTTAGTTTTACAAGATGAAAAGAGTTCTGAGTGTTGATGGTGGTGATGGTTGCACAGCCATGTGAATGTACCTAATGCCCCCGAACTGCACAGTTATAAATGGTGGAGATGGTAAATTTTATGTTATATATATTTTGCCACAATTAAAGATAATAATCTAAAAACGATAGCTCTATTTTTTAAAAAGGAATCATTGCTTTTCTTCAAAGGTTTTGGTTTTAGTGTTGTCTCTGGACAGGAAAGTGGAGAATGGGAGATTGAAGCTCATCCGCAGGACCACAAACAATGATGTACGTAACTCTGTGAGTAGTAAGCTTTACAAGGGGGAGGGAGGTTGGATGCTGTGGTGGGTTGGATTGTGTCCCCCAGAAAGGTATGCTCAAGTCCTAACCCCCAGGAATTGTGAACATGAGCTTATTTGGAAGATGGGTTTGTGCAGATGTAATCAAGTTGAAATGATTGGGTTTAATCTGGTATGACCGGTGTGCTTATAAAAGAGAAGAGACACAGAGACAGGAGACATGCAGGGCGAGCACCAGGTGAGGATCATGGGTAGGAGTGATGCAGTTATGAGCCAAGGAACACTAAGGCTGCTTGTAACCACCTGATGTTAGGGAAGACACAAGGAAGGACTCCCCTGTAGCCTTTGGAGAGAGCGTGTAGACACCTTGATTTTGGACTTTTGGTCTCTGAACTGTGAGCGAACAAATTTCTATTGTTATAAGTCATCCGGTTCATAGTAATTAGTTACAGCAGCTGCAGGAAACTATACAATTGCCAAGGGGACAACAAGAGGACCCCCTCCAGCCCTTTCTGGATTGCAAATGCATTTGCTCAGCTAGGGGGATGGGCTGGTTTAGACAGTCTTTACTGGGCATTCTTACCATGTGCTGGCCTCACGGTGGGGGGTGGGAGGGTAGGGGTGTTGCTCTTGTGACTCACAGTCTTTCTTTAATGGACGACAGGAGACTGACTTAAGGGCCACCTATATGTTAAAGAGAAGTTACAGCACTGGGGGAATGTTTCCTATTCGAGGAGACACACTCCTTCCAAGTGGCTGAGCTGCTCCTCCTAAGGAAGGAAGCAGTTTAGAGCAGTGGAAAGAATGTCGTTTGGGAATCAGATAAATGAGAATTGGTTCCGGGCTTTAGGAAGCCTATAGTCTTGAAAGGGTAATAAGATACAAATAATTACATCTATTAGAAGGCAAAATGAGTCACTGTCAATCTGAGAGATAGAAAACACTTAAGTGAATGTGTGATTATAGGTCTATAGGAAGATTTCCAGAAAAGGAGGGCACTTCAATGAATTTCTGGAGTATTGGCAGGGGTGAGGGGACAGAGAGGGATGTTCAGTCTGGAGCAAGGGAGGAGACACAAGGAAGGAGGAACATCTAGGATCCATTCAGAGCCTCATGAAGTTTGAGGAGAGCACTCATTCTGCGAAGACCAGAAGCATCAAAGGCCATGCTAAAACCCCAGGTTGGATTTTCCAGGTGTTGGGGAGATTTCATGGGTGTCTGAGCAGGAAAGCAATATGATCAGATCTAGGCTTGGGTAGAGTATCATGATGGCTGTGTTTAGTAGGACTTGGAAGAGGAACAATTGGAAATGTATTGTTCAATCAACCATATTTTCTAGAGTGGCAACTTGCCAATCATCATTCTAGTCTTTGGAGATTTAATTACACGTGAAGTTCAGAATCCATAAAGAAAGTTCACAGAGCAAGAGTCTTCAAATATAGAGTTAAAACAAAGAAACAAGTTTCTGCCAACTGTCTCTTCGACCCCTCTTCCTGTCACCTTAAAGAAGAATAGATGTTTTACCGTTACCTTACAGTTAATGAAATGTAGGAGGCACAATTGTTCCAGGGGATTTAGTTATGAGCCCCTGATTTGTAACGGTAGTACAGAGTTACCGTAGACTAATTGAGATTTATTGGCTGCATACCACCTCCAAGTCCACTTTGATAAACCTTAGTCATTTATCTCCGAAAAGAGAGAGCCTACCAAAGTATCAGCAACCTTTTTATTTTGCACCAGGACCAACTGAGGGGAAAAAAGGTATGCACAGTTTTTCTGTCAGTCAGAATGAAAAAAAATAGTTTTATTGGTTCCTGTGGAGAAATGTATATTTTAATAACTCAAGTTAGCTGCTTATTAAATAGAAAAATGCCAGTGAAAAATTTGGCACTGTCTTTTAGTCACTAAGATGTTAATTTCTGTTCATACTGGAGAAATTGCAACAAGGAAACAGCTTTCTAGTTTCTAACTTCATGCGTAAATTAGATCAAAGATGATATTGCTTATCATAAATTAACACACAAATTAGATCATCTGTGTAACTAGGTGGCCACATGTATTCTTCATGTGGATTCTTCAAGGATTTCTCACTGCTGATTTAGACAAAACTCTTTATTGGACAACTTGGAAAATGAGGCCCGGAGACAGGAAGTGATTTGCTTGTGGTCATATGCCTACCAAATCATTGAATTCTACCAAAGATCATTCATTTGGGATCACATATATTGATGGTCTTACTATCATTTATCTGTTTGTTCAAAAAATATTATTGAGCACCTACGAAGTACCAAACATCTTCCAAGTACTGGAAATACAATGGTAAAAAAGACAAAGTCCCTCTCTTACACTGTTGTGAGAGAGAGAAAAACAAATCAAATAATAAATAATTAAAAACATTAGCCATTCATAATATAAATGCTATGAGAAATAGTATGAAACAAAGTCAATTAAGGTAAAGGCAGAGGCTGCTTTTTTAAAAAATAGAGTTTATTTTTAGAGCAGTGTTAGGTTCACAGCAAAAGTGAGCAGAAAGTACAGAGATTTTTCATACAGGTGCATGGCTGTTATCAACATCCCCCACCACGGTGATGTATTTAATGGACCTACACTGACACGTCATTCCCACTCAGAGTCCATGATTTAGATTCGGGTTCATGCTCTGTGTTGTACACTCTATGGGTTTAAATAAATTTATAATGATATGCTTTTTTTTTTTTAATCTCTAACACTTTCAGTATAAAATAGATCCTCCTCTTGAGTTACTTGGGAAGAATCTGGGGTCAATACTCTGCCATTCATTTTTGAGAAAGCAGAACACCATTCGCAGCTTTTCAACTCATTTTTTAAGCCTGCAGATCTGGGGGGTTGGGATGGCTACTTGTATTGATTTCATGAGACTGTAACCAGGACATTAGCTCTCTGTCCTCTTCTCTGAATTCCTCTGTAGAATTCACACGTCCGACAGCATTTGTGAGCAATCTGTTCCTTGTGTAATGAACAAAGGGGGTTGGCACATACATTAAGCAGCATTCGGCCTGGAACCCCAAGTTCAGACATCTCCCCTCCCTTTGGTCCTCTTTCTATTGCCCACCTGTAAGGGGTCCTTCTTTTCTCTCCTTTTGTATCAAGGGAAAGGTAGCCACCCTCTCTCTTCCCACAGTTCCGCTCCGCCCCAGATGCTATCTCTAAAATACCCCCTGGTGTTCTGTGAAAGAGAAGGCTGGCCAGGTAACAGAGCTGCCACCTTCGAAGGCGAGTTATGAATCCTCTTTCACACTGGAGCATGCCTTCTGGACTCTTGCTCCCACATTCATAGCTTTCACAGCACTTTCCCGCAGATTATAGAAATGCTCTGTGGAGAAGAATTTCTATGTCCCGCTCATTACTGGGTGACATGTGAGGGACGACGAAGCACCTCATACGTTATGGATGAAAACACTCGAACGTGCACAAGGGGGAAGAACACTCGACAGAGTGTCAGATTGTACTTCTGGTTACTCTTCTAGGCTCAGAGTGGATTGTTTAATTAAGACCATCTGGCTCATTCAGCAGTAGCTAGCACACGGAAATACTTAAAAGACTGGTTTTCTGATATTAAATATGACTTTTCAAACCCAAATAGTTCTTATTATTAGGCCTAGGATCAAAGGAGAACTGAATTAGCTTTAGGAGTAGAACTGTAAATAGAAAAAGTGTTCATGAACAAGCCCATCACCCTTCCTTGTGGATCACCTTACACATCATGGATCTCTTCATAATGATGGAAAAATATAATGTATTTGGGGAAAAATATTAGCCCAATGCTATCAAGGGAATTTGCCTGACGTAAGTGTAATCTACACACATATACATTTGTATATGAAAAAACTTCTTTTTAGAACAATTATATTTCTCCATCTCTCTTATTATTAATTATTTCGAAGCCTATGGCTCTGATATTTTTTTCTAAGATTTTTCTCACCACCAGACCTTCAAAAAAATTTCCTGAAGGATCCCTTAGTAAATTAATACTGCTATATTAAGACTCTTAAATCCTTTAATAATTCTTTGGATAATTCCTAAATTACTCTAAGAACTGTATCCTTGGAAATAAATCCTAAGAACAAAATGAACATGGTTTTGTTGGAAGGACCAGCTAAAGAAAATAGGCATCTTAACATGCAGTAGGAAAGTGGCAAAAGCTTTTTAGACAACCATTAGCTATCCTCATGGAGGAATAGATTAAAATGTCTAAAAGAAACAGAAATGTTAAATGCTCTAATTTCGCATCAAGTATGTAATTTCTTTTTTGTTTTGTTTTATATCCAACCAGTTGGAACCTGCAAAATAATACAGCACAGATTTCTTTTTTGTTGGTCCTATAATACTTCCCTCAGAACAATTATGCATGCGATTCGGAGACTGTCACCGCCAAACTGATGTCTTCCCTTGAGACCATGAGGAACAATTACTCTTCCCCGTGGGGTGGCTCTAAAAGCTGAGTCTAAAAGCCGATCCCATTTGATGAATGGCAGTAGCTCCCCGGAGTGTGCCACCCTTTGTGGGTGAGGCAGGGAGGCTGCACAGTGGGGCCAAAGTCCTTTCTCCCAACCGGTCAACGGCAAATTGTCTGTGATTGCTGCAGAGCCCTTAACAACCAAAGAGGAGAAACCATGACCATTTTTTTAAATGAGCGGAAAACATGTTTTGGGGTTTTTTGCATCCCCTTAGGGGCTTATTTTTTTGTTTATTTTTAAATTGTCCCAGTTTGTTTCATTCCTTTTCTAGGCTTTTATGTCATTAAGTGAATGAGGCATGGACATTTGATTTGCAAACAAGTAACACATAATATGTTTTTATGTCCCCAACCTCATGCAATATAACTTCAGATCCGGAACATGTGTGAAAAATAAATATTTCATTAATTTAATTGTTCCCTAAATAGCCATTTTTTTCCCTCCCTTCTCAGTTGCTCTCCCTCCCCCCGCCCCGCCCCTGTCTCTCTCTCAT